GAGATCATTCTCAGCTACACAAGTTTTAACGGTAAAGAAGGTTTAGTATTTAGATAGACATTCAACAATCTTTACTTGTGTACTTGAGAATGATCGAAATATTGTACCTGTTTTATAAATATTCCTTACTGTAAAAGCTGCAACTTGTAATAAAGAAATACATATATAATCAGTAAATAAACTCTAAACAAAACTAGTAACATCAAACTCTGTCTGAAATTCGTTTTCAACAATGACCTTTATGTTATGTCTATGTACTGAAAGTCTTAAATGAAATATCTAAACAGAGAAACTGGAAAAAATATTTGGTGATTTGTCTGATATGCGTATTTAAAAATTAAGATTCGTTGAAAAGTAGATTTTAAATATTATATTTTGGGCAATCAAATGTGTTTGTTGTTGTTTATATTGTAGCTGGCTATGGTTGATGTGATAACTAGCTATGCGAGAGCCGTCAAAAGCATAACGGGTTGGTGTTTTAGAAAAAATCCCAAAAGCTTCTACTATTCCTTCAGTATAGTATTTAAATTACGTAATAAAAGGTCCAATGTTAGGTCGTAGAAGAACACTAACCTTATTTATTGATATTATTAAGTATGGTAATGTTCAGCCCTAACTAGAAGTAAAAAACGTACACAAGTTAGAGCGGTAATTTTTTCCTTTATCGAATATAAGCCGTACTTAATAAAGGCTTAACTAATGTTAGGCCTAAGAAAAGTGGACTAACTGACAGTAAGACGCACGGTAATATTTAGCCCTAACTAAACTAGAGTAAAAAACTTACACAAGTTACAGTGGTCATTTATCTCTGTATCAAACATAAGCTGTACTTAATAAAGGCTTAACTAATGTTAGGCTTAAGACAAGGGGACTTATTGATAGTTTTACGTACGGTAAAGTTTAGTCCCAACTAAAGTAAAAGACGTACACAAGTTGCAACTTACAGCGGTAATTTTTCCTTTATCGAATATAAGCCATACTTAATAAAGGCTTAACTAATGTTAGGCCTAAGAAAAATGGCCTAACTGACAGTAAGGTAATATTTAGCCCTAACTAAACTAGAATTACAAACATACACAAGTTACAGTGGTATATTATCTCTATCGAATATACGCCATACTTAATAAAGGTTTAAATAATGTTAAGCCTAAGACAAGTGGTCTCGAAAATTTCTGCGTCTGCAATTATATTTCTTTTTTTACTATATTGAAATTAAAAGTTATGATACATCAGCTTAATACTCGGCATTCGTTTGCTTCCTGTTAAGTTAGTTAACTGGAAATATAATCGATCATGGTTTAGGCCTACGATCCTGAATTTAAAGAAGTAATGTTGCAATAAAGATAATAATTTAACCACAAATGTTTTGCGTGTGTCTGTTTCTTATATTAATTTTCTTTGATACTTAAATTTCCGAAAAATACCAGTACTTTGATAGAAACATCTAAATGATAGGCCCGAAATTCACCAGAGTATTACTTCTGAATTACTGGTCAAAGCTACATTTCACGTTATATAAACTTAAAATTTCCGAATTGAAATTATAGAAAATACCCAGTTGATATTTTAAAAATACCCGAAGTGTAAGACAGTAACACCGATCCATTTTTAATCGATAAAATGCCTAATCTGAAATTAAAGTGACTCTAACGAACATTAAGCTTCGTTTACCGTTGTAGGAAAAATTATAATCATCAGTCTTTCATAATGGCAAACAGTAATTCGTTTTATGTGATGAAGGCTATATTAGATTTTTAGCCGCAGCATAGCGCCTCATATAATAACTCTTGAGTTTTTCAAGTACAGACTTTGAACTCGTAGCTCCGTTATCTCTTGGCCGATTTGAGATCTAATTACAGTTTTAGACTCAGGAGGTGAAACCCTTTCGATTGATGTATTTGACCATACCTAAGGTCTCATGGATTAATTTACTCAAATCCTGCCTTAAAGAATTTCAATTTGAGGGTAGGCTGGTAGAGATTCTGATGAGTAATAAAATCGAATCTGATATAGTCGCGCCCCACGCTGGCGCACAAAAATATAGCTAATAAAAAAGAAGAAAAAAAATGTCTCATAGATTAAGTTATTCTAATCCTGCCCACAGAATTTCAAGTGCTGCGGGTATCGAGGATTCCCTCTTGTTAATGTAAAGAAGTGGATGCTAAGAAATGCTACAAACTGGTAAAACCATCGTATCGCTAAGCGTAGACTAATGTTATTATTATTATTATAAGTAGTTATAATAATACTGAGTTTATGCAAGATACATTTACAATCTACACATATTAACCAAAGTATTCTATTGTATTTTAAAAATAAATTATAATTAATTTAAACGTTTACAAGAAATTCTAATTTTATATTTCCCACGCCTCGCTCTCTAGGTCCCCCCCCCCCATACAAACCCATTATTAAAATAATTAATTATACTTGTCATCAGACATAGCATAGTATTAGGCATAATACATTTTTAAGAGAAGGTATTGTATTGTTTCTAATTAAGCACAAAGCTACACAATGGGCTATCTGTGCTCT